CACTAGATATAATTATTAAACAAGTACCTGAGATGGTGGTAGCATTGTCGGTGATCCGAATGTTAATGGCACTTTTCTGTGATGATTCGGTGCCATTTCAAGGGGCAATCCAGCGACAACAAAGAGCTGATAAAAAAGTTCATCAACGTGATAGTTACGTTTCGCTGACACCTCCACAAATACACAACACTCGTCCTGACTGGTGCAGTACTGCTGTGCCTCTTCAACAGTAACGACCCTTTAAATTCAGGAGTGAAATCATTATTTTGACGGTCCAATTGTCACCGCTGTCGCTTTAATTAATGCCAACCCAGTGAAAAATTCAATTTTCCTCATTTTTTTAACCCAACACACGCCTCAAACTCCAAATTTCCTAAACAACCTCAAAAAATTTTATATTTCATTACCCAATTTAAATAAAAATTATTAAAAATAAAGAGCGGAACTAATCCCTAATTTTCCCAATTTTTAACAACAAATAATAAAAATTCAATTCGTGTGATTATTATTATATGTATATTAATATATTTTTATCTTTTAGAACTTTATCGGAAAATTATAATTTCGTATAGTGCCCTTTTTTAAATATTTAAAACAATAATATGAAACAATTAAAATGACCAGTGGCATCCGATGAATTCAGAACGCACGTCAGCGATGGAATAGCGTTGATGAATAAAACATTCCAATTTATGAGGATTTTACACGGACTCTCGAGGACTTAACATGGATATTCCAGAGCAAACACATCGGCAAAGTAACTTTTCAGGAATTTAATTATTTTCTGTACACGAAGGAATAACCCACCAAAAGCCCCAAGTTCATTCCCCGATATCCGGTATTAAAATTCAAATCCCCATCCCCTCATTCGCGCCATTATCACATCTCAAATCGATTTATCAATTCATAAATATCCATCAACAATCAAACGACGTGTTAACAATCGAGGATTGATCGAGTATTTCACATTGACGTAGATACGACTAGAAATAGTGGATCAATTTCAATCCAAATACTATTCAATAATCCGGAAGTGGTGGGAATAGCGAGATCGTTTAAAAATTTAAAAAAAGTGCGATATACCCAGCATTTCTCGTTAATTCCCATCAGAGTTTTCAAACTCATTCGATGTTTTTTTTTTTCAACAGTTGAGGGATTGAAATTGAATTTTTCACGGGCTTTGGGGGATTAATAAATCGGTTAAACTCACTTTATATCACGATCGCATTTATTACCAACGATGACCATCGGCACCTTAAGGCTGTGGTGGCTTTTGCTTCTGGTCTTTCCACTCTGTATTGCACTTATTTTAGTCTCCAATATTGCCTCACGTAATCTAATTGCTTCCTCGAAGGATTCACGGCTGTCCATACTGAATACAACCACGAATAGGTCACCTGAAATTTCCATTTTTGTAGTCATATCCATTTATAGCAATATAAATTTTTTTAATACTATCAATTTTTAATTGTAGATATTAAATAATTAATTTATTCTATTTCAATCCAGAAAAATCATTCAGTATAATTATCTTTATTTACGAATTCTACCGGAATTTGTTTATTTTTATTTTTAATTTTTAATTTTGTTTATTGAATATAGAAAATTTTACTGAAAACTGAAAATTAATTAATTCTTGCACAAAATCGAATTTTTGACGGGTAAATCTGAATTGATTGAATTGAATTTCATTAATTTCGAATTAAATTATTATTAACAAAATTGAGTAGAAAAAATTAATCAATGCAAAATGAATCTAATTTCGAAATGAGAAAATAATTCCATTCAAATTTCCACGATATAATTTTTAAATATAACGAATTGATTGATCACGCGAATTTTTCGTCTCAATAAATCATTTGTCATTGCTCCTGATGGCATTCAATGATTGTACTTGAATTAAAATTCCTTCAGTACTAAAAACATTGAGATAAAAACAGATAACCGCATCCATTCATCTCGATATTCATCGAAAACAATATTGAAGACTGAATCCTCGTTTATTCCATTCTCTCCACCCTCTATTTATACCAAACATTTTTCTCATTTTCCGGTGTACGTTTTTTCAATCTCGAGTGAGAAGCCTCGAGTGAATACAAGAGCCCTAGTACTCTGAAAAAAAAAAGGATCGAACACAAGCAAAGGGTGTGTAATATGAAAGTTGGAGCTCCCTCAGGGCGACCAACGATATTTCTCTTTCAATCTTAACTCTGTACCTATCGATGGAAAATCTATCCACTATTTTTCTTTTTATTCTCTCTTTTACCCTTTAATTATTTGTCTTTGTGACTCACCAGTCAGGAAAGAGAGTCGTCGCATGGCGGGAAAGGGATGATTACCACTCGTGTCCAATAAATCCAACTGGTGCACCTCACCACGAATTCTGTACAGTTTCCGGTGGAAATCCTCGATCGTTGGGGTGTAGCTCTCCTCGAATTTATTCGATAGAAATCTGCAATTCAACATTTTCAACACAAAAATATAATTAATATTATATAACCTACTGTCACTAATTTAATTGATAATTTATATTGAATTTTTCTCTTCTAAAATTGTCAACTCCAAAAAGTGCATTTTTTCGATATCAGTTTCAAGGGAATATCTCGGAATTGAACGGAGATATCGATATTTATGTGAATACCTTTTTTGTAGCTACGATATTTTTCCATAAAAAATGTTCCTACAAAAAAATCGATAGGTCCCCTCGATTCCGAGATATCGAGTAAAAACGGAAATGGAAAAAAATTACGAATTCCGTTTGCAATCGTTAATGGAGATTCCCGTGAAATTACTCATAATTTCAGTAATGACAATGTTAATAATTGATTATCCTTTCTTCTCTAATGGACGTGTTAAATTTGTTAATGAATATTTTTCCTTAATTAACGTATTAACCGCCCAATCGATGGTCAATCAAAATCCATAATTCTACAATTTCTGCATTCAATTGAATTTCCATAGAGAGAGAGTAAAATGCATTTCTCCATGATGAATCCCTCAATACTAGTCAATATTTCAATTAATGCCACCGCCTGTATTCATACACTCACCGGTTTTTAATAAATAATTATTCCAAATTAAAAAATCAAACGAACCGAATGTCTTCCCTTTCTACTTCCACCAATTTTACTTATTATTATTATATTGTTATTAATTTATAAATCTCCAAGTTCTCCACCTTCAAATCTCTCATTCAATCATTAATTAACCATTTAAATATTTATTCCCATTTTTATTTTATGCTCTCCATCGTTTGTCTCTAGAGATACCAAAACAATTGTTTAAAATAAATGAAATGAAATGTATTTATAATAATAATATAATATACAAATACATTATATTATCCACATTTCCCAATAGATAATAATGAATTTAATGATAATTTAAACAACAATAAGATGTCGTAATCAATTCATTGGAAATTGAATTTTTTAATAATGGATTACGTAACGAAAAAAGCCAGTGATTTTTAAAACAAAAATGAATGAATAACCGCGACGAATTAAAATGGTTTTAGAGTAGAATACATTCGCTAAGAGATGATTAAAAATTTCAATAATTCTTGAGGGATTGCCGAGAGCAATCCATCACAGTGAACCATAACTGGTGACTTTCATCGACAAAAGGAGCTCAAGTACTGAACAAAGTCACCCAACTAAAATAGGACATTTATCACTGACTGGTGTGACACATAAAACGCCTTCAGAAACAGATAAACCCCAGCATTCGGATTACACCATTTACAGTTCTCGTATTAAACCCAGATGTACCCCAGAATCTGGAGCGACTGGAGAAATCCAAAACCCATCGTACGATCTCTCCATTTCTTTGTCTCGTATGTACGTACAATATGGAAGCCTCTTTGGAAGGTAAAAAGGGTATTCTGGAAGTATTATGGAAGTATTCTGGAAGAGCTCTCCAACTTCTTCCTTCCATTTCAATATTTTTTTCGTCAAGCACGTGGAAAACAAGTGGCTTAATATCTGACGTGAAAGAGTGCCCCCAAAATGCCCTGAGACTATTTTCTCTCTCTTTTTTTCTTCTCCCTCTGTTTATCTTTTTCAGGTAAAAGTGATGGGCTCTCTTTAAGCGATGTTCACTGTACCGTATCGGTGATATGACCCTATCCTACAATAACGTCCACTGGCTTTTCAGTGTTACCGAATTGGTCGGTTCATTGATTCAATTCCAATTTTTCAAGGGAAAAAATGTACGTGTGGCTGAGCCACGATACGGCTATCATCACTACACACTCGATGAAAATTACGGAGAGAAATAAAAATGAGAGTTTATTTATTCCGGTTTTAAATATCGAGATTATTTGGTCTGATGATGGGGGACGTGTAGAGTCAACGTGTGGTTTGATGCAACTCGATAAATCATTTGTTGCCTCTAAATCTGGTTGATTCATCAATCAATAACTATCAATGATGGCCAAACTAATGAATAATATAGTAAATAATAGTGAAAATCACTGGGGAGATTATACTGTGGTATTTTAGCTGAGAGAATAGTTCTTCTGCTAATTCAACAAGAATATCATCAGACAAAAAATGTCACCTCAAACTTCAGCTTCGGGAAACATTTTTTTTCTCTCCAGTCAAACATATTATTATTTATCATAATATTTAAATCTTGGTATTCTACTCGAAAGAATACGTATTCATACGTAATTTTTTAATTTTCAAAAGGAGAGAATCAATTTTTCACTGAATATTTTCTCTCTAATAACTAAATTCACATAACAACCGCATTTTTTTCCAAAAAAATCAGTAAATTGAGTGATTAAATTTCGGATAGCACTGGGATATTATCCGTGTGATAAAAGAATATAAACAGCTGTAAAATCCAGGAAACTAGGGTTTCATTGATGAATGCGTGTTCTAACATTTTACGCACTGATATCACAATTCCCATAAATCTGGATGTTATACTCATGAATTTAATGCCATCACTAAAACGGACATTCAGAATACTCCAATTACAAAGGGTGATCTATTGTTCAATGGGTTTACCGAAATAAATGAATAGATCGATAGTCACGAGACGAACAGAATTTCCAGCGATTTTTATCGATTTATTTATCGAATGACTCGAGAGACTTAAGATATTTTTACAATAAAAAATAAGAAATAGGTAAATAATTCCAGGGACTGAACTGTACATTTACTAATAATTCTTACCTTTCAGGTAATATGAAAAAGAGAATATAAAATGGCGGCTAATAAGATTGAAAGAACTAGCTCAAACATTACGATAGATTCGTAGAATAGAAACCGAAGGCTTTAAAAAGTTGAATATCTCGGAAACCAATGGAATGAATGAGAAGAACTTTGCCTCAGCTTGAAGCCAAGTTAATGACTTAAGAGTTGTGAAAAGTTTATTGAATTTCACTCTATGAGTTCTGAGTTATGGATCATCGAAAACAATGCATTCACCTGCTCTTTTCTCGTGAAAATAATTATTTTATTGAATAATAAATCAGTACTGAAATCGTTAAAACGCGTATCCAGACAATTAAGTCTTATAGATCGAGGAAATTCATTAATCATTTGGTATATCAATAAATTTTCGGTAAAGAAATTATTTTTTTAATTGCGTTTTCTGATATAATTGAAGTTTCGGTTCTTCGGTGCATTATATACGCAAGTTAACCGTAAATATCTCGCGATTGAAGAAAGATGTCGATATTTTTACGTCTACATTTTTTATAGACAAAAATGAGAGCTACAAAAAAGGTATCAACGAAAATATCCGTATCTTCCTTCAATTACAAGTTATTCCCCAGAAACCATTCTAATCTCCTATTTCAAACAAAATTGAGACATAAATAAACAAAAAAATCAATTCCATTAACCAAATAATCTTCTTAATTCCAAAAATTCCACTCATCTCAAACCTACATATCACCTTTTCCTAAGAAAATGAATTCCCCTTGTTTCCCCTAATTCCTCTATTTTTTCTCTCAAATCGCATTCGAAAAATTCGAATATTTTTAAAACCAAAAATTTCTCCATTAATTGACGTGTGTCGCCACTAAAATTGCAGATTAATTTTAAAAAATCACCATAAATCTCCCTTAAATTCTCGACAACCTCCACACCTCATTGAAATTCATCCCAACACGGAAAACCTCTCGACATGAAAAACACGAATAACAACGCACCACCAGAATTAAACAAAATAATATTCCCAATAGACTGGCAAAAGTTTTGACAACTCACCGTGCTACAATGGCAGTTTTGCCAACTCGTGCACTGCCAAGTACAATGAGGCGATAGCAGTTTCTAGCTGGTGGTTTGCAGGAGTCTTCCTGCGATGATGTAGATGCTGGACTTGGACTAACCGGTACAGGTAGTATACCATCCTCACTTGCAGATGGTCCCTCAAGATCTTGTGCACCTCTTCGTCGTAGGGGTTGATGAGGCTCCCCCTCTTCAACCCCATTTCCACGTCCACAAAGTCGCTCCACGCAACGCACCAATCGGACACAGGCCTCCAGCTGTCAATTTAATTCAATTAAAATTTCTAAACATCAACAATTACATGTACCATCTCCCCAACCTAATCCTCCATCACGATTTTATCCTATTGGTCTGACCAATTTGTTTAAACTCTCAATGATCCATCGATAAATAAATAACAAATTTCACTCCTTTCTAGTTTCATTTTTTTGGTGATAATGTTTATAATTATTGATGGTTTATTACCGCGATTCTTCGGGATTTTTTATAGTGAAAAATACTGGAGAATTGAAACGAAAAAGAAACTGATCTTCAACGATTTTTCGTCTTCATAATAATTTTTTTATAATTATTAGATTAGAATTGTTTTTGCAAAACAATTTGAAACCCAAATTTGTAATTATTTTACAATCCAAATCCGATTTATTTATAATATTAAATATTATAAATAATAAAAAGCACAGATTACGGTCGATAGATCGTACATCTGGGCCTGGAAATCGATAATTGAAACCCTTAATCGTAAAAGTCTCCATGAAATTTCATTTTTGTCTCTCGATTATCGACGAATCGATAATCTTCAAGAGCTATTCGTTGAAATTAAATATTCCATTTTTAGCCTGTCGTCGTCTTAGTTCGTTGGGGTCGGGTAATTGTCTTGGAATTGCTGTCAAAATGGATTTGGCAGTTGGGGGATTGATGGCGCGAAAATTGCACTCCTCTCGTGTGATCAAGGGCTTTCTCTGTTTACTCCAATTATTAGCAGAGATTAACGATAAGATGTCAAGGTATTATAAGAACAAATCCTCGAAGACCCAATTCGTCTAGCTCACCGGAATTATTTCATAATATTAATAATAAAAAAAAAAATTGACAAAAAAAATAAAAAAAAAATTATTAAAAAAAAATAAATAAAATAATTTTTTTTTTAATAAAATAAGAAAATAATTGTTATTTTTTTTTAATAAAATTTGAAAAATAACTTATTTTTTTATAAAATAAAAAAAAATAAAAATAAAATAAAATAATAATTAAAAACGAAATTATATATAAAAAATATTAATATTCGGGAAACCCAATGTATGAAATGATTTTCTCAGACCGCAGTTCTACGATTTTTTATAAAAAATCCAAAAAAGAAATAGAAAATGATGGAAATAAAATAAATCTTCGGATCAACGACGGAAGTTTCAAGATTTCAATATGAGAGGAACGAAAATATTGAATTGAGTTGAATTTGATAGGAATATTTAATAAAAATATTCAATATTGTTCAGTGGATCTCAAAAAATTTGTTTTTAATTGTAAATTTTGAGATTTGTTGTGGAATTCAATTGGTCCGGTGTTAATGAAAGAATTCTGATATTCCGAATAATTCCGAATGAGAATTACAGGAGGGAAAAAATCACAATGTTTCCATTGGGAAGTATAAAGAGAGTTTTATCATCTATTATCTTCTCATTCTGAGGGTACATTTAACGGGTTTTAATTGAAGCTTTCCTCGTTGAAATCGCAGTATTTGCGGAATAAATATTGCCTTTCGGTCGTTGATTTACAAAAGAAACGGTTGTAAAAAATAATTGTTGAAATTATTACTCAAGAGTTAAGAAGTTAGACTGTGAAATTGAAAAAGTGAATGAGAAGTTGGAGTTGCGTTACTTCCGAATTGAATGAACGTTGGAAGTTACCAGTAAACCACTTCATTGATTCATACTCGAGTTATAGAGTACTGAGGATCGAATGCTCCACATTTCCAAGATGATAGAAAATCTTGTTGTGAGAACCTCAGGGAGACGTTCCCATCACTTTCTATTTTCAATTTGGATTCACTATTTCACGAGTGGATCACACAGATAACTCTGAAATAAATTCACTAGCGAC